ATAAATAGAGTGGCTAGAGTCTTTCTTCGAAAAAACGAATGCTTTTTCTTCTTGCTCCGCCTCCTCTAATAAGGGAAGGATATTGAAGGCACTGTCCTCCCAAAGTGGGGGTTCACGAGATTTGATGGCATACTAATGTGGGCTCCCACACTAGGCCAACCCCCTAGTTTCTCCGCAAAAAATTGCTTCCGGAGCATGAAATTCGCTCCGGAAGGTGCGTAATCCAGAGCTGGTCACTCAGCCCAGCTGGTCACTCCGCCCATTTTGCAAGTTTGGCGGGCTGCGGCGCTGATATACACCGGGCGTAGAACGCGCCGCGGCCCTACAACCTGCACTTCCACCCGTTCCGCTTGTTCTCTAAAACAGAGGTTTTTGGGGTTTTCGGGGATTCTCGACTTCATATTCGCAACCAGGGTCTTCAGAAGGCCCGGAAGCGACAAAAACATGGAAGTCGAGAATTTGAGTGGACTGTGCCTTTAACATTGGCCGGCGGTTCAAGAGATGTATATCCATAGACGCGCCTATGAACGCTGATCCCAAATCTGCTTTCTTTTTGCGGAATAAGTTTCCGAAGGAAGTTATGAGAGTGTGAATGTCCAAATTTTCCAAGCATTGAGTGGCTTAAAATCTGCGAAAAGCTCTAAAACAGTGCCTATGCGACATTCACCGGCTCTGTCCCTTCATTGCAAAAAGTTCAGTTGATACTGTTGCTTTTGTAAAGGGTTGGGCTTCTTTCCGTAGTCGACAAGGTGTTGGATCGGATAGTTCACTTATGTGTTTTCGACTTTTCAGACTCTGAAGAAGGCGAGTTTGCCGAAATGTCAGTCTGCATAATGTGGAATAAATATCTGTACCAATCTTGGACTTTGCTAAAAAAATCAACCAGAAGCAAACAATATACTCGATGCAAAACTAATTTCACTTTCTGGTGTTTACATTCTTCGCCAACTTTAGGCCGGCTAAATTGACAAACTTGGAAATTTACAACTTAGCTAAAACTACAACACAGCTCACAACTTCTTTCGGAAACTTTCTCCGCAAAAAAGGAAAGCAGATTTGGAATTATCATCCAAAAGCGCCTCTACTGATATACAACTCATCTTCAATTGTCGAGTAATGTTGGTATCCGTAGGTGCATCCCTTGTAAGCATTTTTTGTTCACGCCGAATTAGCTATTTGGTGGGGGGAGGGAGGGAGAGTAAGAGACAACAACGGTATGATCACAAGAGGTAAAAGCAATAGTCAAGCGAATATGCGTTTTTTTTTAAATAGAAACGGACGGGAATCTTTACTTGGCCGTTGTTCAAGAAGCCACTCATATAATTCATTCTTGGCCGGGACATTCTCTCTTTAAATTCTTTCTACACGTACCCTCTACCAAACTCGAGATCTGACTGATCCGCTTGCTTGATTGATAAACTCTTTTTCTCCCCTCTCCTAGAATCTCTAAGAATCCCAGCCACCCGGATTTGTTTGAGTCGCTGCCTCTAGATGGGCAAAGTGCTCCATTTTTTGACTATAAGAAAAAACGTTTGTTAGATAAACTTCTCTGAGAAACTATAGTGAATTCGTGGAAGAACGTTATACAAATTTTGAATTCTCCCATTTATCTCGAACCATCATACGAACCTACGCTATAGCACGTAGTCTCACCTTCGAAGCACTTTTATTTATGCTTTTTGTATAGGTGAAGGGCTTGTCAACAGGTGTTCATGCTGTACTTTCATTTGATGATTTGAATGTATCCATGAACGTCATCATATTCAAGTGCGTAGGCTATTATAGGAATGGTCAGAGCATATTTTTTTTATTTTTTGTGTGCTTTCCTAGAACTGCCAGAAGTTGCGGCCTCTAAATCTTTTGGCTAGAACCTTCAAATTTATTCATTTGTCTTGGGTGTATCACTCTCCCTTCCATCACGTTTGTAGCTCAGTTTATGGTGCTCACATGTCATTCTTAGTTTTCCGACATGCCACCAAGGGGAGAAAGGCCGAAAATCTCTTTTTGAAAGAAATATGATGAGCATATCCTGATTATGTGGTATATGACCAAGTTCAAAGCAAAAAATGGTTTTCTGAGAACAAGCTTCTTCGAAATAGGTGAATTGCAAAAATTCACATCTTGTTCGCGCGATTGACCTCTCAACTTACATGAAGAAGGTTCCATCAATGCTCTCACTCGCTACTTTTTATGTGTTTTCGGCTTTTCACTTTCGCAACGATTGTTCGAAATCCATGAATCTCTTAAATGAGCTTCGCGACCTCCGTAAAGGTCAATCATGCAGCAATTATCCTCATGCTGATTTATTTTGACATGTTCCGGAAGGATAAAAATAAAATTGAGGGTGAGTCGGAGTCATTTGTCCGACCTTACAATATGAAGCTAATTATAAGCTTGACACTTCTATGTCCTTCGTGATACTTACAAATATTTAAGAGGAATTTTCAAGCTTTAGCTGGTGGCATCAAATCAACTCAAGTTATTTTTATAGTCTCTCGAGATGTTTTTGAATATTTACATATAGAAAGTGGACATTGATACACAACATACATGACAATCTCAGAAATTTGACTTTTTATTACCGATTTTGTCCAGTGATAAAACAGAAACAATCTGGTCTGAGTATGCTAATATTGTAAAGATACGGTAAGTGTACGGTAGCCGGTCTCCTTCTTTTCTTGGAATGTTCATGTTGTAGGGATGTGTTGATGATGTTCATGTTGTACTGGCTATATCTTACTCTTAGAAAAAAAATTCAAATTCTCTGACCCCTTTCTCTTCGAAACTTGATGAGACGTAACGTTCACGCAATCACGCGAGTAAATGTTGGTGAAATTCGCATCCAAAATGCTCTTTCGAAACCAAATGACCGACAAAGGAGGAAAAGACAGCCCGGCACGTTAGGAAAACAAAATTTTCGGCTGCATTTGCATCCATTTCCTCCGAGGCATTGTTCATCCCGTTTGGTTGTCTCGACCTCTTTTTCAGGGTTATGAGGTTAATGCATAAGGCATTAACGCATTAATGTTGAGTAAACAAGAACTGCATTAGTCTGAAGGCGAAACTTTTTTGCTTCTTTTCTTGCTAAGGTAATTATCTTTTGAAGAATCTTCATTTTTAGGGCATTGAAACAGGAACTCGTAGACGATATCCTGTTGTTGAGCTGAGTACTGGAGATCTATGGTTTGGCCTCTAATTCTTTTTATATGACTCTTTCTTATCCATCATGGAATTCCCTCCTCTAAAACCTTGCCTATATTGTATTATGTTTATTTTTTTGTAAAACATTGGTCAAAATTGAAGGATAAGAACTTCGTCTATATTTGTGCATATAATCACTTTATTTATTTAGTTATTCGTTGATTCATACATCACCTGTTCTGGTATGATTGGCATAGCTGCTGAGTTCATGAGGAAAATGCTTCGAAAATTTGAAAAAATCACCAAACCATATTGAAAAATTTTGTTTGTCTTTCCAATCATAGCAAATCATCCATTTATTCCCGAAAATCTACCATGCAGTAGCCATTATCCTCATTTTCGTGGTCCAGTTTGCCTTAGAAGTTCTCTTTTCTTTTGCAAACACTCATTTACTAAAGTTTTCTCTCTTTCTGTCATCCATTAGATTTGTACTTCTAAGTCGTTTTTCAGACCAAACTATTACTTTACAGTCGAGTAGATTTCCTGCTTAATATAGTGTCCCTGCAGACGCGACAACGCTGGGGCGTCCATAAATGCCTTGCGAGTTCGCGAGCTAGTGTTTTCCAGTGGTTTCTTTGCTTATTTCATGCTTTTTAGTTGATTCGTTCCTGATAAAGAGGAAAATGGTAAGTTAAAGAGTAGTTTCTGTTTTCTGAGAAGTTCCATCATCGCATATTCACAGATATCCACGTGGAAGCATTTCGCATCAGCTTCTTGTCTATTTTTTTGTCATTTCCTTTTCTTCTGTCACTTCTTCTTTCAAACCTCCTCCTTCTTGTGAGGCGTTTCTTTGAACGCTAGTTGGCTTGTCTTGCAGCAACTTCGGCTTTCATCCATAAGAAATAGCATTTTAATCAAGTACTTCATGTGATAAAGACAATAAGACAATCGTAAAAAGCCACTAGCGTTCAAAGAAGTACCTCACAAGAAGAAAGAGACATGAAGTGACAAGAAAATAGACAAGAAGCTGACGCGAACTGCTTCCACGTGGATATCTGTGAATATGCGATGATAAAACTTTTCAAAAAACAGAAACTACTCTCTAACTTACCCTTTTCTTCTTTATCAGCAACGAATCACCTAAAAAGCATAGAATAAGCAAAGAAAACACTGGAAAACACTAGCTCGGGAACTCGCAAGGCATTTATGGACGCCCCAGCGTTGTCGCGTCTGCAGGGACACTATATTAAGCAGGAAATCTACTCGACTATACCTCTCCCGGTTCATACCGTCCTTTTTTTTCAAAATTATCCAGGGACTTATTGACCTGTATTTGGTTGTTTTTGATTCCACTTTGTGAATTCCTCCGAGTGTATAGTTCATTTTTCATCTCTCTCTCTTTCATTTATTTTGAGTTTATCCGGCTAAAATTTCAAGGCGTATAATAATAAAACGAGTTGCTGCGATCTATCATCCAAAGGGCGGGCAATTCGCGCGATTTCAGTCGCGAAGCTATCTGACAATATTCCAACTTTCCATAACTCATTGTAAGCACAATTTGAATGTACACAAGATAGGGCATTTTATCAATCCACGTAAGTTATACACACTATGTATGTACAGTTTGCTAGTTTTGGATCTGAAGACTTCTGGCAAATTGCCAAATAGCGTCGCGACTGAAATCGCGTGAAGTATGTCCGGTAAGAAACAAAGAGCAAAAGTTGATTCAATTATCCATAGCCGTTCAAAATTTTGTAAAAATACTGGAATTTTCATGTGAAGTCAAGCCAGTTCTCACTGATAAGAATAACACGTGTAGGTTCACATAAGCTACCTGATCATTTCATTCCACTGACTGACGGTGACCAGCTGTGTCTGAGAACCTCGTTCACGGAACGTTTCCGTGACTAACTGTGAGTATTAGTAATGGGCTAATTTAGCCCATTTTTCCCAAATCATGGTCCCTATTCATAGTTTTTGAGAGCATCACGAAGTGAGATTGACATTAGCTTTTCATAATGGCCGAAGATTGCAAATCTTGAATGTTTGTTGTCTTGATATGGGCCAGGAAATTTAGCAGAATATATTAAGAGGGCTTAAGGGTTGTAGGTAGCTAGAAAATCAAAATTTTTGTAATGCCAGGCGGTTCCAAACAGAAGTGATAAAGATTTCTTCTTCAAAATCCGAAAACTGGAAGACGCAGGTCGACCTCGAGATTTTTTATTTTCTCATTCTTTTCATTGGAGCGAAGAATTACTCTTTTATTTGCTATGAACAATGAAATATCGAGGCATCATGAGAGCGAAATGAAAAAGTCTTTCTTAATGCATTGCTTAGTCTCTGAAAAGTATCGGTACGACTGGTAATGAAGTTCTTTGTACTTTTTTGTTGGAAAGCAAATAAGCAACTGGTTTTCCCCGGAAACCACCACTTCCTGGCGTTATTTGCTTGATTATGTATGCTTTTTAGCTGAAATTCCTTTGCGCAACGGTGGTAGATAGTAGATTTTTGACATAATGTTTTTCAAGAATGTATCTATCTACTTTTGCTTTGTTGGCAAAAAAAACAAGGCCCGATTAAGCTCCTGACTATTATGAACGAGAATTCATATAACCTTTATTCAACTGGATTGGCGACTGGGAGATGATACTTTGTGACCTAATGGCCGATCTGACCCGCGACGCAGTCTGGGTCTCTCCCGCGCGCGTGCTCTCTGGTCACTCTTTAGCCTAGGTCACGAAGCCTCGCCTTCCAGCCGCCAATGCAGTGCAATTAAAGGGTACATATGTCTTCTGCTTGACGTAATAGTTTTTACTTTTACCGGATAGCATTGAATAATTTTTGCCAACCGTTGTATCTAGAAAACCTTCTTTTTTCTCTTATCACAAGTTTCAAGACAAGATAAAGGCTGCTGCACGAAGGCGCAATACCTTTGGGTGCGATCGCGGTTATATTAGCCGCAGAGCGCTTGAAGCGCAGGATTTACAACGGTGAGAATAGAACGCCGCGTTCGCGCACGCTCAGCCAATACTGCTTCTGCGCCTTCGTCATGCAGCAGCCTTTACATCCATGTGGATGAGTAATATAATCAATCCGTAATTCAAGGCTATCTTCCCATGTTATAATAATTTTCTAAAAATGAATATTTCCATCTTCCGCATGAGTATTTTGCGAAACTGTAAATGGAAGCATTATACAAAAAAATGTAAAAAATAGAAGAGCTTTAGGGTGCTGCGTCGATGTAGAGATGATGTTTTGCAAAGTCCTCTGTTCTCAAAATTATGAGTCAGAACAAATTTGACCAAGTCACTCCCACTTTTCTACGATTTGTATTTTCATGATCCTTTCATCTCTCCTCCTGCTTCATCTTCATCCAATTTTTGGCTGTTTTTATGGGGCACAACTTTACCCGAAAAAAAAAAACTCGCTGCTCACAATCGTTGGATTATAAAGCTAGAAAATTGGAATAATTTTGTGGAAACCTTGATCTGGATGTGCCAATAGCTTTTCTATTGATGGCTCACCTTTTTCTTTCAAATCATTTTTCTCATTTTTCTATTCTTCTTCTCATTTTTCATTATTCTCATTTCTCTCTTTCTTTTTCATTATTCTAAATTTTCGACTTCAGATAAGAGAACTTGGAAAAGCTTTCTTACTTCATCATATTCATTCAATGGTTATTGAATCGTTGCAAAAATCCTACCTAGTTCTTCTAACCCATATCAATCTTGGAGAAGATAATGTCTCCCACGCAGAGCCATCAAGTCCGGATGAATTATAGGAAGTGCTTAATGGCGGATAGCCCACATTTCTGATATCGAATAAATGCATAGAGTCGAAATTAATGAGATTTATGGCGATGACCATTATTTAATGGACTTCGAACTCGCACATAAGCGTAATCCAGTCCAACACCCGCTGTCCATGACCACCATGAGTAGTGTAGATGCTTCTATCCTTGCTGAAGGTGTGCTATGATTATACCCCCGGTACCTCATTTATCCTTAATGTAAATATTCTTTGTTTTGCTCTGCACTCGTGCATGCTTTGTCTTGAAGTGGGCCAGAACTTCACATGGAAACTATTCCAGCACTTAGGAACCATAAATCAAAAGCCATGGACTTTGCACAAGTCTGGTTTAGGCGAGTTAAAGGCAGCATCCAGGCAGAATTACGACTTCTATTTTTTTGCCTAATCCAGGCTTTTTCATGGCGCTGATTGCAAATATGGCACTTAAAATGCCTGAATTCCTCAAAAAACCCCATTTTTGAGACAATTTTGTGAGAAGTGTGGACGACTGCTTCTAATGTAATCCATGTCGAAAGCAAGCATTAACAGGTCGACACTATGTTTTCCATTGTGTTTGCCACGTGAAAACATGTCAAGGACTGAGGAGAGTTCGCTCAAGGGGGCGGGACATGCGAGGGAGTGGGCGTGATCCTCGAGGCTTTGCGTTTTCTGTGCCGATTTTCTCCTTTTACAGGGAGTGTACAAAAGTCGGACTTGTGCTATAGTCCTAGATTGAGGCCCTAGTACTCGGTTATGATAGTATCTTATAATGGTCAAATCTTCCCGGACACTGCCTTTAATCACGCAGATCACCTATACCGTACTCTTGTCGCGTAGTGGGCCTTTCTCGTAATCACTGTGTGTGTACTGTAAGGGGTAAAATCACGATGTTGCTCTTTTGTTTTATGATGGTTATATCGTGCATATCCCAGAATTGTTCCCATATGAACCATCAATGTGGCTGCCTTTCGATCGTTTTGACACGTTAACTCTAGCGAATTTAAGGTGCTTATTCGAAGTTGACATGCTAAATTGATCAAAAAACAGCCACGTTGATGGTATATATGGGAATAGTTCTGGAGGATGCACCATACATGTTGATCATGAAGATCATTGTTACATTTTCGAACATTTTGTGGGGTTACGGTGGGTATACGGTAGAAGGTCAAATTGCAAATCTTCTAACTCTGTTAAGGATGTATCCAACGAATATCACGAACATTATGTTTCTTTTCGCGTAACAGGGGTTTTTTCGTTGATTTTTTGGGATCTAACTTGCTCTGAAAAACGAAAGACGTCTCCTTATACACTCCTCACACCAAGCACCCGCAATAAAGCGTAATGACAGCGAGAGAGCATGATATTCGTAAGCAGCATGTTGAATAATCGCCAAGACGAAATCTAGAATCTATGAGCAGAATAATAAAGCGTTTGAGAACAGTGAAATGTTTTTGAACGGAATGAGCAGTTGTGATCACCATGAAGAATTCCCATAGACGAAGTCTCAGCCAGTCGTGAATTGACCCAATCGTATGCCTATCGTAACTTCACACAAACCTCAACAAGCAAAAAGAGCTCTGCACCCAACTGCACGACAAGACAAAGGAAAAGAATGAAAGTAATCTCTCCATCTCTGCATTTGCGGACCGAGTATGAAGATACCGACAAAGCTAATGAAAATCTGAATGAATAACCATCAGACGGTAGTTCTCATTGTCTCGGATGAAAAAATGTTATAAATCTTGGACACTTTTTAAAGAACGATATTTGAGAGCTGTCAAATGACCATATATAAAAAAGTTACATAAATGCGCTGGACAATCCACTCTGCTTAATTTTATACCAGTTTGGCTAGTGCTAATGTGCCGCTCTTGGGTTGCCAAGAAAAAGTTGTAAGCGAGATGGACGTGGGCATTTCTTGCCTTAGTGCGGCTACTCCAACTAGAAAGCTGACTAATGGACTCGATAACTGGAATCCAACGAATAGCTGCCGTTGGAGAGAATAGCCATGTTGTAAGAAGTGTTAGGTGGTCGTTAGCGACAAGTTCTGGTAACGCCGGAAGCATTCTTTTGTGAGTTTGATTGCTCCTTTCAAACCTTTCCTGCTTCCTGATGTCCCTTATAAGCATGGTCACATCTTAACGTTAGGTGTTTCGCTTCAGGGCCATTTATCTTTCTTGAACTTTCATCCATTTCAATCTCTTGAAAGTAGTCTACATGGATGTAAAATTGCATACATGATTTTTCACATGCAGATTATTCTGAAATTCTCAAAAATTTAAACTAGCAGCGGAAAAATTTTTTCGGGACAGCCGCTACCTTGCTTGAATATTGAATGTTATAGTAACCATAGTAATATCTCGAAAAAAAATCCCACAAATCTTTTTTTGGAGGCGTGGTAAACCCACGTACCTTTATTTGCAAACTTTTTTCTGCCGTGTCTCTTCCCCTCCCCCCTCTCCCTCAGCCCCGCCAAAAATTTCTCGGACCGTTGCCACACGCAAATACAACTTGAACAAATTATATTATTATAAATATAAAAATCTGTGAAAATATATTTCTCAAGGTATTAAAAGAATTATATAGATTACGTATTTCATCGAAATATCTTGCAAAGGACATCACTTCTTCGTTTATGCTTGCTGTCAAAGTTTGGGTATTTGGTGCAATAGCACAAAATTACAAGTCTATTGCGTTTGCATCAATTCCTATTTACTATCTTTTTCATTAGTTCTAGATTTTTAATTTTTCAAGTCTTATGAGCCCAAAACTTAAGAACTCTTAAGTCAAGATTATTTTTGTGCAGTTACATCTTACTATTGAACTTGACCTGAATTCCGTTATCGCCTGCGGTTAATGGCTTTTTATGCGATTTGCATGTAATCACCTTGATAACGATAAAATCCTCTTAGAATGCTCGTTTTTCACCGCAGTACCGCTTTTTTTCGTTTCTTCGTTTACTCGATATTAAAAAAAAAGCTTTTCTTTTTCCTGACGTCAATTCTATTTCTTGGTTGGAAGCATCCAAATGAACCGCTGTTCGTTTCAGGATCTTCACTTACGCATCATTATGAGGCAGAAAACCAAGAAGAGGAGAACCAGAAAAGAAAACGTAAGTACAAGTTAGCCGTTTCTATGACTTTGTCAGGCGAACATATAATCAAACGCAAAAAGCCAGCCATTTATGACAGTTGTCCAGCTCCCCCCTGTTTTAATCCAAAGAATAGCCATAGTGTATGGTTGATGGGGTCCGGTTTGTCTGGTCACTTTAGGGAGGAAGTAGGTCCGGACTTTGATTTGATGTTCCTAAACGATCGTAATCTTTTCTAGAGCCTCCACACGGCGTATGCGATTAATTAGCAGGAAGCCTGATCATTTACTAAAATGGGCTAATTTGATTAATGTGCGGTTGAAATTTGATTTAACCACCTCCCTCGACCCTCACATAGCAGAATACGTTTCCATCTAGTCTACCTTATTAGTAAGTGTGTTATGATGCTTTTTTCTTTCTGGGAATTCTTGGATAGAGCACTTTTTTCCCAAATAGGACTGCTTATCACTCAAAATGATTTTTTTAATTGCATGAATTGATAGAAAAAGCAAGTACTTTGCATTCTTCAAAAGTAGGCCTGATAAGAACGCCGTCCACATGCCACTAACAAAAGCAAAATCTTTGTGCGAACTTTGATTAAATACGGTAACGATCTCTGAGTTTTGTAATGTTTCTGGGAAACGGGTAGATAAGATGGCACTTTCATTTACTAAGAGTTGAGGTGAAGATGATAGGAGTACAGTAGGTTTTTTGGTGTGCGAAAAGTGTCAAAATGTTTTCATAATGAGCTGAAAAAGAATCTGTTATGTTTTCCGATGGCTCCAGAGAACCAAAACAATGTTCAACCCATTGAGAACGATTTGGACCGCCGGTGGCCCACACCCCTTGCAATGTCATAGTATTTGTAGGCCTAGTATTTTTCCACATATCAATATTTTTTTAAATTTCTGCACTCTTGAAGACCTGTAGGCTCCGTCATTCAAGAAAATGTTTATAGTTGTTCAATCTTGCATTCCGTAAATAACCACAAGACCTTCCCATACCGAAAGTGTTGTGCAAAATCGCGTCGTCCCACAGCGTCGCCACTCGAAATTAGGCGTCGTCGTCAACGGGTTAAACGAGAGTGGAAAAACCATGTACAAATTAATGCAATTTCACATTATCGTGATATAGTAGATAACGTTGTGCTTGCATGCAAAGTGGTGCATAAAATTGGCCATGGGGCGCATCTGTGCACGTGTACGCTTACAAGGAGAGGATACTTAGTCGAAAGCACCAATCCAGATGATGCATATATCATCTGGACGTGCTCGGAGCGCTGATTTCAAATCTGGCAAAATCAGCTGCGGAACGCCTTTGGGCAACGAGTTATGGTTGTTTTTGTGAAGAAAATTTGAAGTCGAGGGAAGAAAAAAATTATACGCAGAAATCTCCAGTTGGGCTCGAATGGGGAGTGATGTCTGTCAGATTACTCTGCGCAAAGAGAAATGTCTGTCTGCTATACACACATTTAAAATGAGTCTGTCTGCAAAATATACATGTTGTAACAATCACTTTTACTCTCTCTACCCATTGAATTTTTTGGCTCTTGAAACGGTCATAGCTCCTTACCCAAAGGCGCTCCGCAGCTGATTTTGCCAGATTTGAAATCAGCGCTCCGAGCAGGTCACAATGATATATGTCTCATCTGGATCGGTGCTTTCGACTAAGTATCCTTTCCTTGTTAGTAGCATTGCTTCAGCGAATGTTACCTATATCGGCATCAAAAGTGAGTCGTATCAATATTTCTATTTTCTAGATTATTGCGATCCTCTTTGCGTTTTCCTCCCTCCCCTCTCCTTCTTCCTAGAAAGTTCAATGCCCTTCTTCATATTTGAAACCTATGCGCTCGAGAAAAGTTCCGTAGTATGCTAGTTCCACAAAAAATATAGACAATAAACTTCCTGTCAAATGTCGAAAGGGAGGGGAAAAGCGAAAATCTCCTTCTGGGGTTTGTTTCAGGCTTACAAAGTAAACAAAGCCAAAAAAGTCTTTTTATTCTCATTGATCAGCATAATGTCATTTTTTTGCACATTTGCACTTTAATTTTCTGATAAGATGATTTTATAAATTTTCAAGTGAATTCATGAATCGAACTAGTCATAATCAAATAAGTTTATGAGCCTCCAGTTTTTGCCATTAAACCTTCTAACTTGACGCTATAATCCCAGCCCCTTAACGGTCTCTTTACCCATTTTCTTACATAATCGCCGAGTTATGGCTCGCTGTTATGGGGGTTAACGAGACGATCGTGTACAAGTTTACGATCATCGAGAAATTCTGTACCATGTCCAGGTCTCTTCTTCTTTCTCGTTGCCGAACGGCCGTACAAGGAGATGCATATCGCCGGCGCGGTTTATTACCTCGATTGTTCTTTTTTTGTAAAACGAACGCGTGCGCTCATAGATTTAATCATAAGTACATATGATTGACCTTGTGAAAGGTTGGATGAGAACTGTAAATCGCAAATCGAGATAAAAATGGCTTCAGTGTAAATCTTCGCCCTGTTCCAGGCTGGTGTTCCAGTTGCTATATCACCCACATGCTCGACAATCCTCGAAGAATCCTACGGTGTTGATAAAGAGAACTTGGGAACTTCTGTGTATTTTCCAAACGACTACGGCGGTGAGATTCAATATCTAATGATATCAGTAAAAAGGAAAGCATATGCGTATATTCAACAACAAAGAAGAAAATGTAAACTAAACTCTTAGCAAGATGACAGTAAGTATTGTTGTGGGTCTTAAATAATTTAATTTAGGCTTTTGAGCTTTAATGCACTACAAATTCTATATCTAAGATCAACAGAATTTTTCATATTATTTCTGTTTCTTAAATAGTTGCTAACTGAAAGGTCGAATAGTCTTGAAATATCCTTCGAGATTTATAAAGTTATGCAAAAAGCATACTCAAAAGCACCGCAGACAATATGTGAGCTGCGTCCATCGGCGACGCGGCGCGCTTTTGCTGCCTTTGGGTCGTAAGCAGTGTGATGGGTTATCTAAACTCGGCTGTCCTCACATCTGTGCATGATTGTGTCTCAGCAGCTATTGCTATTCTTCTATTAGCTGATTTTTTGTTTCATGAAAAAGGAAGAAATTTTTTAAATCGGTACAAGAGTAAAATTAGCAAATTGTAGGAAATGCCGTTTGGAAAAGATTCTGAAATATTTTTGAATCAAGCAAAATTCACTTGGCCATAGCGCGGACTGTGAGGGAATGATTTTAGTTTCTAGAGAAGTATAACTGATTAACGTATAACAGTGCCAAGTCTGCAAATACATGGTTACACCTGTAGCGACGCGGTAGTTGCGCCTTCTGCGGCGGCGCGGTTTTGATGCGTTTGAGTCGCAGAGTAGAGGGTACGCATAAGCTGGAACCGCAACGCCGCAGTGACAGATATGGGGCGTGCCTGTCATGAAGGTATCATGCATCCCCCAGAACTGTTCCCATATGAACCATCAACGTGTTTGCCTTTCGATCGTTTCAACAGGTTAACTCCAGCAAATTTAGGGCGCACATTCGAAGTTGATGTTAAAACGATCGAAAGGCATCCAATATGAGAACAGTCCTGGGGGATGCACCATAAATTGTAGCAATCGTCTGAGTTATATGAGCAAAATCTAGCAAGTTTCACAGCCAGTTATCACAGCGCAAATAATAAGTTCAGCGGTTTTGGACCAAGTTATATCTTATATATAACTGAATGTCTGTTTGTCTGTATGTATGTCTGTATGTATGTCTGTACGTATGTTCCGAATAGAAAATTCCATTTCTGAACCGATCCGGACCAAAATTGGCACACTTACACTTCGGGCCCCGGCGGGTGTCATAGGCTACTTTTCGTCATCGATCGATATAGATTTTATCGATTTTTTGCAAAATTTGAGCTACGGGGCTGGGAGTTGGCACAGGGGGGTAATCGAGCATGCTGATTACAAATATGTTATTGACAGGGCCGGGCGGAGCCGGGTTTGCCAACTAGTCTTTCATAAAGTATACCTGTACCTAGAGCAGACAAGGCACTAGTTGCGCCTATCGATGCGGCGCGGTTGTGCTGCCATTGGATCGCAGGATTAGCGAAGACATTTATCTGGAGCTGGCATAGCGCCTGATCTTCTTCAGTTGTACACGTATAATTCAAGTAATTGTCCTCATTCGTCTACCACTTTTTCTCCCACGCTTATTACCAAAGCGAGTGACCGTTCCAAGCAATGGTCGGCACTGTTTTGAGCGAGGAATACTCGTTCTCATAGTTCTCCTCCAAACACTTTAGCGTTCCACTTTGGAGCCGGATCTGGTTCCATTCCATGGTGCAAACCTGAGTGGAAGATAAAAGTAACAAACTTGGGCTTCACTCATTTGGTGCTTGTTCGCATTGTCTAGCTCTCTTATACTAACGTAAAACAAAAGAGGGAAACTAGTCAGGCCGGATCTATCCTTTAGTCCTAAAAGATCCTTCTTAGCTAAGGCTATTTATAGCAAATCTGTTTAGTTACCAGCGTTAGCTGGCTGTCAGTGTTTAGTTGAGGGTGGCCGCAGAGGTATTGAGTATCAATGCCATTCGCTTTTTGCGAATCACTTGGCAATGCTAAGCGTGCAAATTCACGTCTGCGTCTGCGCATGATCTGAAATGTCTCGTCTCCATCGGCGGTTAGCCCGCCCATTCGCCGATTGGCCGTTCATTCAAATTTTGAATTCCGGACGCCGTTCTAGAGGATTACTGGTAATGTGCAGATGTTGACAGATAGGTTCCTTTGCATTTTTTCTTGGTTATGGCGCTTTTATCTTCATAACCTCTTGGCATTTTGCCAACTATTCCACTCGTTTTAAAGAGTTTTGTCTTTTTGTTAGCGTAATTTTGAGTGAGGTTTATGTTGTAGATGGTCTTACTAATGCTTCACTTTTTCACCCTAGTTTTTTTGCTTAATTTTTTCTTCTTCCTATCATTCTCACTTTCAGCAAGCTCGATTGATAACTATCGTATTATTTCTTATCCATTTGTTCTTCGAACAACCTCTTTATCGGCATTGTCACTTGTTGTTTTTGGTTTTTCTTACGACAGCTGAACGTTCTATGCAACCTTCTATCATAACTTATAATAACGGGCTAAGGGTTGTTTACGTTTTTGTGTGTGTGTGTGTGTGTGTGTCTGTCTGTCTGTCCGTTACGAAATTCGTAGGGAAAGTTCCAGCTAACCTCTCGAGCCCAAATTTTGCTTAACACATCCCAGCAGCAGGAAAGTCCATTGTGCAAAAGCACAGGCGGATCCGATAAGTGGATCCCCTAGAAAATGCGCGCGAAACGGGTCCACTCAACTTCTGACCAGCAAAATTGGGTCCGTATATAAATTTTTTGCAAAGTCGTGGATATGTTTGACAAGCTAATGTACAAGCCGTGAACTTTAGCCCAAAAAATTCAACTAAAGTTGGTTACTTTACGAAAATGGCGCCAAAAAGTATCAGTGCGTAAATGTTCAAATTTCCACGATTTTACGTGATCATTTGAGAAGATTTCTGCACAGAGATGCAGCCCACGATGATTATTGCCGTTGTGGCGACTACCAAGCCATGAGAAGTCCACAAACCTATTCAAATTTGCATTTATTCTTCTGAGAAAAGTTTTATCCACGTGAAATTACCGATCTCGCACAAAAAGCTCTACGAATGAGTAGCCGTTTACAAACTATTCGTGATAGCCTGCATAACGCGGTGAGTTTCACTGTCATCATTATGCGGGAATTAGTAAGACATACAGAATGTAAGGCCAGTGCGAGCCTCTGCGAAGCAGAGGTGCCGCACTGGTGTCATAGATGAACTTCAAACGTTACATGGATAAGAAAAACTATCTGAGACTTCTTATGCCACCTTTGCCTCTTTTATATCGCACAAGACTCAGTTGTAGAGACATTTTCTTTTGAAGCTGACTTGAGTCTTTGCAGAGGCAGCTTTCCTGTGTCAATGGTAAGCGCGCACAATGTCTATTGTGTGGCCATATGTTAAGTAGATTAGAATGATCTCACCTTTGGAAATTCTATATTCTATATTTACTGTGCCTAACCTTCTCCCCCTTCGGTTAAATGCATGATTTGTTCTTCATATCCACTTATTTTAACCACTGCGTTCGCGATTAGCAACTTGAACGAAACTCTGAAATAAACGTTATGGTTTTGCACTAAGGCTGCGTTCATACTGATCCGCAAGTTCGGGAACAGTTCCAGCACAGCGCTTAGTTCGAGCGCTGTGTTGGAGTTCCCGAACTTTCGGATCAGTTTGAACGCAGCCTAATCTGTGGAGCTGGGACGGGCTTTGGCTTGCGCTATCTTGATAGGTCCTACAGCGATCTCCTGTTGCTTGTGCAACAGGTAATCCGGGTAATCGCCCTTTATCCAGCTGAACAGAGTATGTGCAGCTTAAGATCTGTTTAATGATTACCGTTAACCTATACGACGTCCTCTACTAAGAATCTAGGTTAGAACTGTGCTGCTCGCTTAGTTTCCATTGACATATTTAGTCATCGCTAAGGCACCCGCCATACTTGATCCTCTTGATCCGCTTAATCCACTTGATCCGCTTGATCCACTTGATCCGCTTGCTCCGCTTCGTGCAAAACGCGCGCACTCAGCAGTTTGTCATTTGGCGCCGCGTAGGTAAAAAGGAAATTCGTATGGTTAAGCAAATTCGGTGTACGCGACGCCAAATGACGACTGCTGAGTGCGCGCGTTTTGCACGAAGCGGAGCAAGCGGATCAAGCGGATCAGGTGGATTAAGCGGATCAAGTATGGCGGGTGCCTAAGATAGCGCACCTAACTCAGCATCTGATTGTAAGCTTTTTTGGTCTAAGTTCACAGAATGTGCTAGTACCCTGCGTGGAAGTACTTGAGAAAGGCATTTTTCGTAAAGGATACCTCATCCATATAAAGCTGCTTGAATCGCCTTTGGAATTTGCAAGAAAAATATTTGCCTCCGTATAGTACTTATCATGAGATAATTCAGGAAGTGTGCAATTGCACTAGGTAACAGTGACCGCATATGGTCCGTAAAGAGTCTAATCTCGTACGAAGGCGGATGGTTTGTCGTCGCAAAGTGGGCGCGAACGGAGTATGAAGCATTTACCATCGCTGATAGACATGACATACAGGACTCCGTTGACCGTTCGCGGGGTCGCAGGGGGGGGGGGGGGGGAGGAGGGGTCCATTTACCTGACATGACCGCCTTCGTCCGGGACTAGCCATTGAAAGTATGGCAATACGACTTTTGAAGATCAGTTTCGGCTCAAAATAAGATGTCACCAATAAAGGCACATTCCTTGAATAGCTCTAGCTTAGAATGAATTGTACGAGTTCTAACCTAAGCTAGTAGACCGACCAATCATGCTCTGGCGCTTGTTCCGCTTTTTGCAAGTAGTTAGTTTTATAGCTTTCTGTTCCAATCTATGTCATTTCATTTCTGTGCCCAGTCCTAAGTTTCTATCTGCGATTGCATCTATGAAATAACATAACATATGTTTTCTGCTTGAGTTATTGAAGCTTCTAGTTGTGACACAAACCAGTTTCTCTTTATCGTTTGTACTCATCGTGATAGGTTTGAATTAACTTGCTCTCTTATCTGGAATGTATCTGAAATG